GTAAAGAGGCTTGGACTACATCTGCCAATCTATCTGTGTGATTAATTCCCCAAAAAGAGAAGATCGCTAGACAGAATATAGCTATTGTTCTGCACAAAATTATCACCCTTGCATATGAATGGGTTATCGCTTTAAAGTTGCTGAAAAGTCCAATGAGAACATTGTGCAAAGCCCTCTGATCTTCATGTTGTTCCTTTAGAACATTCTAGATTAGGTACAAAACCACATTTCCATAAGGAATTTCACCACACACCTCTTCTCATTTGGGTAGAGAATGAGAAGCCCGAAGTAACATTTAGCCAACACTGGTTCCTTAGAGATAGAATGGAAAAGCTTAATTACTAGAAACAAAGAGAGCCCTGATACTCAATGTACAATGAGCAAGAATGAGATGTAGGCTTAATGTAACTTTAAAAAAACTTTCCAGTGTGTGCTGGAAATCTAACCAATTTTAACAGGTCAGTTATACAGAACCAGTTTGGCATTTCTTCAACAAGCTGAATCTCAAGAAATGATGATACAGTACAAGAAGACAATCCCACAGAGTCACTCTCAGCTAATGAAAACTGACATCTGATGACAAAGTCATCAGCAATTAAAGACAAAAAAGAAGAGATTTCTCTAGTAAACTACTGTGCCATCAATTCATTTACCTTAGACAACTCAGTCTCTCCTAGGTAAGTAAATAAGGTCTTACCTCAGCTAAGCTTTTCCACACATCACCTAATGCCAAGAGGACATCATTTGTTGGAACAACCCCTAGGAGATTAAATGTATTGGATTAAAAAAAATGCATTAATTCAGTGTACTCTTCTTCAGCTTGCTTGCTTAAGTAGAGAAGTATGTCCATATGAAAGAATTATTTCCTGTTTAAAAGTAGTAGTAACATAATTCAGAACACTACTTTCAGTGTAAATCAGTAAACATGTTTTAGAATTCAAAAACAATTTTTATATCAGGTAAAACAGGTGCAAACAAAGCTACTCAAAGAAAAAGATAAGAAAAGATGAAGGAATCAAGAAAAATGGCTGGTATAAGTTTAGATTGCATTCTTCTCTGTCTTTTTGTTATTACAGTTTTTAAACTGTTTTTAATTGGTTTTAATGGGTAAACTGAGTGTTTAGTTTTTGTTTTAATTGTCTGTGCTGCCCAGAGTCACATGCACGAGATGGGTGGCTATATAAATCCAATAAATAAATAAATAGAACAGTACAATGTACAACTCCTAAACCAGTGCTCTTTCATTTTATATCTCATCTTTAGGGGGGGGGGTTCTGTTGACTAGTTCATTGCCAAATCACCTCAGCAATCATCCATTATATTATAAGTGCTTCACTGTGATCCTAAAAAATCTGAGTACGTCAGTGAAATTTATGTACAGCATCGCTAGATGTCTCTACAACTCAGTATTCTTCATAGTTGCTTGCTCACAATGAAGTAGGTAGAAAATCATTTGCCAGCTCTCAAACTTGGTGTTTCCCAGTCAATTAAGGTAAGTCTGGGATGAGGGGAACAACCAGAAAATTCATATTCTATCCCACTGTGAGGCACAGACTTATTCAGGCCAAAATATTGCTAAGATATGTAATTGGATCCAGAGCCCCAGACTGGAGTTGCAAGCTTTGTTTCTCATAACTATTACAGGGGATTGCTTTTACTGGAGGTTCCATCTATACTCAATTCGATATCCATCTATATGACTGGAAAAGCATAGTTATTCATACCAATCATGCAGAAAATCACTTTATTTAACAGGGACAGGAATACGAATGGATAGGTCTCCTTACCATGTGTAAAGAAGCTTAAAATCAAAGATTAAAGCAAAACTCGAAAAAAAAGGAAGATCTTCCTAGGGTTATTCCTGAGATAATTAATTTTCAAGAGGGTATACTGGAACACTGACTGATGCATCATCTTTTGTGGTCATCTTCCCCAGAAAACAGAACATTGTGCATATTGCTTAGGAAATGGGCTGCTTTATTACACCTGAAGTATGACAAAAATAATGGGATCTTGCCCTCCCTTTAACTCAAATGTGACTCATTGGAAATCTGAAAAAATAAAATCTGCACAAATAGGGGGAGGGGAATTATTAGGAGACTTTTCTCACATCTCCCACATTGGATTTAAATTATCCCTCAGTTTCCACAATTCTTGCTTCTACTCAGCCAGAATTATTCCTTATGGCTCAATTACTCTATGGATTTCACATTCTTCTCTTCTTTAGCATAACTCTTTAAGGTGAATAAATGAGATACAATGGAATTATATTGCAAGTGCCCCTGGTGCAATTTTCTTTTGTTGGCTGCCAATTACTTCATTTTAAAATATTTGTAAACCACTTATTATTTTAAAACTCCTGTATTAGTTAAAAGGAGAAAATGTAAAATATAATCATCATATAAAAACAATTATAAGCATTCATACAATGAATATAAAAACAAAAGGGGCCAGAGAAGACCCAAGAGTAAGGTATTGTGTTCTTCTTACTGATTTACTGTATGTCAACTAACCACATGTAACATGTGGTTCAAACATCCCACTGTCACTATTATGAGAACCAGTGAGATCTGCACTCCAAAATGTTGATGTGCATGTAGTGACTTCATCATGTCAACACTACAGTTGTATATTTGTGTCCTGTCATCTGACACAAGTACATAAATTGTTGCATTTGGGGATGACATCATCTCACATGTTTTGTCATTTGCCCCCCACTTATCCTCCATGGACACGCAATGATAAGAATGAACTCTTTCTAAACATTCTGTTTGCCCACTTATCATGAGCCTATCCCTGCAGTTAAGATCTGCTTGAAATAAGCAACCATTTGCCAGTTTAACTTTCAATGATTGAGAAAAAATGTTACATCATTCTAGAATTTGTTTTTATCCATTGACTTTTTTCTGAATAAGTCATAGATCTTTTAATTAAGGGTGGCAGACTGAGCAAGAACAGGCAACATATTGTGCAAGAGCATCAGTACTGTGTATCCGCAATAAGCGGGCCACAGTGCAAACTGGATAAAAGCAATCACTGCAGGCATGTGAGCCCTGATGTGCTTGCTTGGACCAGACAGACACATGTGCATATATACACTCATATAAACACACACATAATTCTTATTGCCTTCACATGCTACAACTGTAATATATCCCACTGTAACACTGGGTGGCATTTTTGAAGTAGTATTACTATTGGGGAGGGGAGAGACATATGTTTTCCGGTCTAGAGAAAAATATAAGAATAGGATCTGGAGAAGACATTGCAGATTAGATGGGGATGTTATGGGTTCTCCATGGCTGGGACAGAGTTTGTAACCCCAATTCAAAATTTTACATGCATAGAAAATCACATTCCATCCCAGGTAAGGGGATAAGATGTAGACATCAAGGAATGTCTGGAAATGCTGCACCAACACAAATGTGTAGAAGAATATGATGGGGGAAGAGTAGGATGGCAATGATTTATATAATAACTGAAGGAGTTTGAAAAAAGTATCACAAGATTCTAATACAAAATAGCAGGAGGAATCCTGTAAAAGATTAAGAGGGGAGAAATAATGACTCTTAGAATAAGAGTTAATATACTGATCCATGATGCACACTTCTAGGGCCACATGTAGTCTGTGAAAGCCCCACAGAGCCTTTCTAAAAACCACTGCACTACAATTTTTTATGTGACAGAAGAAGAAATACATATGGAATAATCATAGTAAATGTGTTAATGTTCAATACATTGAAACATAAAGTAAATAAGATTTCGTTTTTGTCCTTCTCAACTTTTTGTCCCTATCCCTTATTTCATATAGTGTGACCCCTGATATAGCATCCAAAATCCAATCATAGTCCACACCTCTATTATAAAAAGCAGGTATGAACCCCAAACAGACCTTGGATGATCCAACAAAGCTAGACAGAGTTGGGTCTCGTTAGTACTTGGATGACAGAGAACAAGGAAATTTTAGTGTACAGGCTAGTCTAGGAAGTTGAAAAAAATATTCTGGAAGAAGACCACTACCTCCACAAATGTCTTCTGTGTTGTTGCCATGAAAACTACATGGACATGTCTATCAAGTTAGCAGAGGCTGAGCTCAGCTTGAGGGACTACCCTACCTGCACCTTATGGCATTTCCAGGAGAAATACAGGTAGTCCTTGCTTAATGACCACAACTGGGACTGGAATTTAGGTCACTAAGTGATGCAATCGTTAAGCAAATTATCACGACTGCTTTGCCTAGCGGCCACAATCCCAGCACTCCTGGCTGCTGTTGTTAAGCAAGAATCGCAGGTCATTAAGCAGACGGAGTCCCAGGTAAGAAGCACGGGGGTGCCTCAAAGGGGTAGGGTAGGCCCTGGGAGGCCCTTTGTAGGGCCTCCCTACAAACACGCATGAGTTTGGGGGGGGCTGCATTGTGGTACAAAGCTGCAGCCTCTCTTGGAAGCCTCAATAGCCCCAGCCTGACCCAGCAGTGCTTATGACTGCAGGGGCACTGCAACTCCTCTCACCCACCCATCTTCCCCCCACCATCTATGCCCTTTTGGTTGCCCTGCACAATGGCACTTGAAGGTGGCAACGGCGGGGCTGGGGCTGAAGTAGAGGCCCGAGGCCTTCAGCAGTCTCAGCCAGTTGCCTCCTCCCCCAGGCCTCAACTTCAGCCCCGGTGCTGCTGCTGCCACTGAGAATGCCACATCAAACCCCACACCGCTGGCCTTCACTGCTGTGTGCTGTTCTCCAAGCTGTGCCTCTCATTCCCTCCCCAAGCTGTGCATCCCATACCTTCTGCAAGCCGGCGTCCCATTCTCGCAATCCTCCAGAAACCTTCTGGTCTTCCCCAGGTCTTGTGTGAATGGGATGCTGGTTTTAGGGAAGGAACGAGAGGCGCAGCTTGGGGAAGGAATGGGACACCGGCTTCTGGAAGGTATGGAATGCGCAGCTTGGGGAAGGAATGGGAGAGGTTGCTGCTTTAGGGAAGGAATGAGAGGTGAGGCTTGGGGAATGGCACAAGGTGGTGAAGGCCAGTGGTGTGGGGCTTGAGGCGGCATTTCTCAGTGGCAGTGGCAGTGCTGGGACTGCAGCCGAGGCCTGGGGA